ACTTTTGCTGGTTTGTGTGGTCGTCTTCTTCTGTGACAGTAAACTGAACATTTGTGGGTGTTTTACCACATTTGAAGATGGCACCCTGGGCTCACCTGGGAACCTTTGATGACTACTTTTTCAATTTTTTTGACATTTCATAGAACAAATGATTTAACGATTCATTGAGGAAATAATTGGCAGAGTCACAGGTCATGAAAATTATCATCAGTTGCAGCCGGCTAATAATCTTAAGTCATTTTTGAAGAAAAAAAATGTTGCATGTTTCATATGTAAATAGTCTTTAGTCCTCTATGATAGTAAATTCAATACCTTTGGATTTTAACAAACAAGCACTGTAGACTCTGTAGATATTTATTGACCATAAGTTTGATTATTCCAGAAAGTAATTATCAGTTGCAGCCTTGAAACCAAGCTGCGAAGAGTAAAAATGTAGATTTTTTTCCCCCATGGCCACTTTGTTTATGCATGAATAGGACATATTTTAAACTCCAGAGATACAAAACCAAAACAGATTATAGTACCCTAGTACACTTAAATTAAAACTCCAACCCATACCTTGGCAACTACACACCTACCTAACACAGTAAACTTCCTGAACAGTCCAGCCACACAAGCTATGAACAATAAAGAACAAGCAAAAATATGGAGGAGAACTATTGTAGGACATCGTCACGTGAAGAATATAAATGATGCTGAAGTCATTTTCTCCCAGGGTGAAAATTGCGATAATTGATCAAGAAATAATTTAAATGTCGGGGGAGTGATAACAAAATACATTTCTTTGCAACATAAGTAATCATAATTAGTTCTGTGCATTTTCTGTTATCTACAAAGACAGACTAGATAAGAGAAGGTGAACATTTTTAACAGAGGAAGAGAAATGTCATTATGTTTTCTAACATGAATTGGGCAGATCCTGTGAAATTTAGTCGGTGTAATGCTGTTGATGCAGAGTAAGACCTTTTTGGTGATGCCATAATACGCGAAGAACATAATATCTGCCATCGTCACCAGCCAAATTAAAGAGCTGCACTCCCAGGCACCATATGTTCCAGGTCAGAGAACAAGTCAACATACAGTAAGTGAAAACCATCTCAATTTTCGAGCAGTAAAACTACATTTGCTGGAGCACTCTGCCGACAGCTGCTCCACCTGCATGCACAAACGGCCATTCATCATCCTGTGTGGGCCACAGCTGTCCTCAGGTCTAAGAGATGGAGATGTCAAGTTACAATCTCCACATCATCCAGGCAGTCTCACTCTGCTCCTCTCGCTCTGTTTCCTGCCATTGTGTCAAAGACAAGAGCATTATTTGAAGAAAAAAAAAAAACACTGCTTGGCAAATTGGCAGGACTGAAAATATCTGATGGGGTGGTTGTAAAAGGAGTTGCGCTGACTCGACTTAAAAGGCACAAAAGGTTCGGCTTATTTAATCTTTGGATTCTCGCAGAGAAAAAAAAGGAAAAAAAAAAGTGAAGTGCTCGCATCTTCTGACAGGATGTTCAGGAGGGCACCTGCAAAGACAAAAGTGCTCATCTCAGAGCTGCAGACACATTTTTCAGCTGACCACGTGAACGCATTCATTTTTAAAGCAGGTCCACAAATGATGTCAGGATTTTCTTTTACATCCATTAAACAGAGCTGGCTCGTCTCCGACACAGACAGCTCACAGTGTAGGCGCAGATGGAGACCAAAACTCTGGTTGTGTCTCTCAAACTGAATTTCCAACGTCAATGAACCTGAAATAACAAATCTTTGAAAAAAACGCATGATGACATACATTGCAAAACGATTTATTAGGTAAAACATAAAGTCGGCATATAGAATAGACTACTGTCATCACCTATTTACAGTACTTACATTTTACTATATATCAAACTAGGGCTGCAACTAAAGATTATTTCCATTATTGACAAATCACTAAATACTTTGTTGATTAATCAGTTAACCTATTGACCATTTGATCTATAAAGTGCCATAAAATTGTGAAAAATGCCCCTCACATGTTTCCAGAGCCTAAAGTGATGTTTTCAAATTGCAGTTATAAACCTAAAGATATTTAATTTACTATCAAATAAGGCAAAGATAAGCTGGAAGTCTTTACATTTGAGAGTTTAGAACAAGCAATTTTTGGGCACAAAATGACTTACTGGAGCTATTTGTATGCTTTGCTGTTGCTGCATAGCCAGCGTTAGCATTAACAGCTGTTTCCTTACCAGCCTAGAGGAAACGTTGTGAGTTCAGAATCAAACTTGTGGAATGTAACGCCAATGTTGACTCTTGTTTCTATCATGTCTTTTCTAGCCAGCTAGCCCCGGCCCGTACCAGCCCGACTCGTCACTTTCCCATAGAGACTCACCGTAGCCACCAATCTGTTCTGAAGACGTAGCGCTGCACAGAGAACAAATTACAACCTCTTGCATTACAAAGACAATGATGGCTGAAGCTCTTGTCGAGGCCACAATCACCACCACCACCCGCTCCTGGCAAGAAACCACGTTCAGCGGCAAAGAAAACTTACAAATAGCCCCTTTAAATGATTATCATGATTACTGCAGATGGATTTTCTGTTGATTGACTATTACAGCTCTATATCAAATCAGCAGTATTAGTATTATTTTCTGTATACTGTGATGTAATATATTCTCCACTACACGGCAAGTAATATACACGTATATACATTCAGTTGCTTGTTTATTATGTACGCCCATCTAAAACAAAATGCAATCTAATACATATGATTTCCCCCATACAGATGGGGCAGACAAAATATTACAAACATCTCTCAGTACAATGCAGCACAGTCAAACAGCACCACAAACTGCAGCCTCCACAGCGATCATAATGTTTAATCAACAGCTCTTTAACACAGTTTCAACAAGAACTGGACGTCACAAAGGTAGGATTTACTGCAAGTCTGTTGTCTTAGACTGCATTAGTTTAGCTACAGTAATACCTGATACCTTCGTAATAATAAGCAGGCTGTATGTGAACATATCAGATCTCCATAAATGAGTCAACTCATTGACGTGTTTTTTATTGCCAGAGGTTACAATTCAAGAGCTGAATAAGTCAAACATATCAAAAATACACAGATCACCACACATACTTAAAAAGAAAACCAAGTTAAAACCTTGACTCGAAGGTCAGAGCTTTTTTTGAATTTTAACTATTTTCATGAATCTTTTATTCTTCAAAGATATTCAGAATCCCCCGCTCTTGTTCTTCTTTCTCTGTCCCCCCCAGTGCTTCGACAAATACATGTGCGAGTTTCATTAAGGCTACTCTTACTGTATAATCACAAGTTGCTGATTTATGCATGAAATGTAGCTTGAAATGCATATACTGTAAGTTTTTTTTTTCTTTTTTCTAATCCTGCAACAATGATCATAGTAGCAACACTGCGGCTCAACAAGGAGGTGGCGTGGAGCCAACAATGCATGCTAACGAGGAGGATTTCTCGAGGGCATGCTGTTGGAACTTAATAAACACTTTTGAGAGTCATTTGTGCTTGGCATACAGAAATCCAAGAAAATGGAAGAATATGAGTTAATTGCATTTTGGCATTCATGCACATGAATCCACAGGTTTTTTTTTGTTTTTTTTTTTACGACTGAAGTATTTGAGAGGATCCTTCATCATAGACAGAGAGATGGGATTCACAGTTTTGAGTTTGCTTTTGAATCTCCCATTTTGTTTTTTGTTTTTGTAGCGGGTGCTTATTTGAGAAATAAAGATGTGAATTGCTTCTGACTCAACAGCCCACATACATGCAGCAGTTACATTGACATCACACTTATCTGTGTTGCTGGCAACTGTCGATTGCATCTTTTCAGCCGCAGACAGAAGCATTTAACAAACAATATCCAGCTCTGTTTCTGAGCTTCATTTGAAGTTTTGTTGTTTTTTTTTGTTTGTTTTTTTTCTTCCAGCTCTTATCAGATCACAGCAGCTCCTCACCTGCGAGTGGGTTTCGTATCAGTATGATACCTTAACCACATCCTCCTCCTATTACTGCAGCACAGCCACCGATTAGGGACCGCCAGGAGTGAAACCCTCCCTGCACGCTACCCTCATTCTGCTCTTCGGCACCAGCTCCACTGGGAATAATCCTGCTACACCTACAGCCATCCAGAGAGGTGACAGCATTGCTCTTTCTCCCACCACCAAAGTCTGACAGCCATGATTTGGGGAGGCCCTCTGCTACGGCTCAGATCAGGGATCAACTCACTGCTCGATGGCTAGATCTCACCATTCGAAGAGCTGGGGGCCTTTCTGCTGAGGTAAGTCTCTCACTGCCTCTGCAGCACAGGCTCTGTTCAGCCATTTTTGTTCTGTACTTGTTTTGTCGAGTCAAGTGGCAGTCATGTCTGATTAAAAGTGAGTGGAACTGGTTTATGTAAATGAGGCTCTCACACAACATTCCTCGAGACTGCTTGTTTGTATAGAGAAAGTCAGGTGATTTAAAAAGAATATGGTATTTATTAGTAGTGTCACGCCTTTATTTTCTAATCACAGTACCTCTCAGGTTATGGTGCTTTTATTGTGGCGTTTTCTCCTGCTGTGGCTCAGTTTTATGCTCTCTCAGACAAGGCATTGGTTACGGTTACACAGTTCATTTCTGGGATCACTGGATTGGATATTGAAACATTTATCAGGACACCTGGGTTCTCACCTTTTGCTAATGAATTATTCATTAACCCTTAATGGTCTCTGGTTTTCTTCCAAGATTGCTCAATAGAGTTTTTTTTTTTCTTAGCACAGTTGAGTTTAAAAGAGGCACATTTCAATGAAACATCTACTCTCTCCGTCGTCAAAGTTCTATATGAGAAAGACGGAGCTATAATGAAAGTAGGCGTCCTGCTAACAATGCTGTTTTAAATTGACTGCAGTTTGGTGCAGCAAGTCGGTCATGTCATTAAGTATTTCCCTCCACAGTCTAACTCAATCTTGCTTTTTTTTTCTCCTTTACAGTATCCCTCACTGCATAGTAGCACATGGATTTCAAGACTTCAAATGAAGAGGTTGGTAGGATTCAATCATTGTAACAGTCTGACAGGGAATTGACTATGATTACAGAGACTGCCTTGACATTTTCAAGCGCTTGGAAAGCAACACTAAGCACCACAGTATATCTGAAAGCATGTGGCAACATCAGCGCTCCGGCCCTTCGTACATATGCGGCCTCAGTGGGTCCCCCACCCCTTTTAATACATCCATTTTCACATCTGTACAAATAAATGATTCACTCTCTGTGGCTTATTACAATAGCCTATTAGCAAGCCATGTAACGTACCAATTGTAAAATCACTCAGAAACACTGCCGCTTTCCCTCTAATTCTTTTCTATCTCTGCGTGTTTTTCTTTTGTCTTGTGATTTTACTTCATTTTACTACATTTTTTTAAATGACATGACTGCTTTAACATTCACCTGAGGTCCTCAATTAGCTTGGGGACAAGGGGTGGACAAACAACCAATGAAGATGTTAATGGAATCATGTTTTATTTTTGCAGAATTAAGGTGAATTAGTTCCTAATAGGCACTTGCCTTGTCTGTAGAAGTACTATAGTAAAAGTTTAGTAACAAAAAGTTAACCCCAGTCTTAAATCTGAAAAGACCTGCTGTCTCTCTTAAAACAGGGTGTGATGTTAAATAATGCTGGCAATGGTTGTTTGTGGACACCATAGTAAAATGGATAAAAACACAACGGCAAACTGATTATATTGCAAAAGTTACCATCCTAGTTGACAAATATTGCGCATCTCAAACATCTTTGAACTGTATAATAGCCTATTGAGAGGCTGTTCTGTTGTTTTTGATACAAGGAATTGTTTGTCAGGTTTATTCAGCCAAGAGTGATAGTTTACTTATAATGTGGTAACATTTATTTAGAAATTACAAGTAAAAACAAGCTTTTATTTCCAGGCTTTTTGAGGACCTTCCCCCTGTTGCGGCCTACTGTTCCACTCACTATTATCCCATTGGGTTATAAAGAGTTGTCTTGGTTGCATGTCTGCTGCTGTTGGTGCAGTATAAATGGTCATGTGCACGACATCAGGTTGGAGACCATGATTGAGATAATAATGGAGGGAAGTGTGATAGTGAAACATCAGTGATAAGGCTAATTATGTGCAGTACAATACATATGCTACAAGGGGTCCAACAACGCTCGACCACGTGAGACGCTGTCTGACCCGGCGTTGCACAGTTATGGCACTAGTGCCCTCATTTTGCTCGGCTAATGACTCTCACACACACATTACTTCAAACAATGTGAATTAATGCCCCCCCGCCCCCCTCGTGTCATTCCTCATGTTGCAGCTGCAGGCGGAGGCTCATTTCTTCACATTCCTCATTACGGGGGTGAAAGATAATATGCTCCCTAAACTGACTTTGATTCAAGTTTGACCTGCAGTTGAGATACTCTCTCTCTCTCTGTGTGAACAGCAGCCATGCAGCCGGCTGTCTGCTTAACTGATGGGTGGTGTGTCCCAGGTGACAAGGATGCTGACAGTGGAGGCTTTTTAGAAAAAAATTTATTAGCAGTCTTGTCAGGTGAAGGTGCTTCTTTTTATTTAGACCTTTTTAAGTCAAGGACAGGACAGGCATCGCAATTAAGCGGATGGGGGTGGGGGGGGGGGTGGGGGGGTGCAGAATGCAAATTTATGCGGATTAGCATGTTTTAAATGGATCATTGGAAACACACACAGTCCCCACACTTGCTTGTATAAAAGCAGGGAAATTCAAATTTAAAGGGTGAGCTTGATTCTAGCCACTTAATTTCACAGCTTCTTAATTTGTCATCATCATCATCAGCCTTACACTTAGAATAAGTGGCCTAGGTGTTTTTCCTCTCAACATGCACACACAGGGTATCTTTACAGATTCTCCTCATTATTTAAAAACACAGTTTTCATATGTTTTTTTTTTTCTTTTTGTCTAAATGTTTATTTATCACCATGAGTGTTGATTATTGTTGTCTGTTCCAACATTAGCAATAACAAGCAAAGTAATAATAAAAAGGCAAAAAATACAAAACAGATATCACCAAAACTCTGTACCCTAATTTCCATGTTCATCCTGCAGCAAGTACTCTCAATGACATTTCATTTCATGGCCAGTTAATTTAGTCATGGAGAGATGATGAATGAATTTATCTCTCTGCCTGTTCACAGACAAAGACTGGGATTTATTTGATGCAAGAAGGTAATGAGGAGCCGTTTAATATTCGACTACACTTGGCCAAAGATATTCTGACCATTCAAGAACAAGATGTCATCTGTGTGACAGGAGAGCCTTTTTATTCAAGTGTAAGTAACACGGTCACCTCTGACAATTACTGAATGCTGCTTCACCTTCATACGGGGAAATCAGTAACATGTGCATGTGCAGTACGGTGAAGGTTACAGCACAAAGATGCTGAGAACACCGTGAATGTCAGCTAATGAAAAATCTGCATCAGTTAATCTATTCCTCATAAATCAAATGTAGCTATTAAATAGTGATTCACCCGCTGGATCATGATGTATAGTCTTTTACATTTTACATTTTGAAGAAAAAGTTGAATTCCTGCGCTCTGTAAGCACAAAATGTGTTCGATCCTAGACCTTTGTCAGGCATCAAACTCACAATATGCAACTCGCAATATGCCACAACATCTTTATACCAGAGTGACAGGCTGTCACAATCCATCCAAAAAAAGAGTGAAATCACAAACACCTGAGACAAATCCAACATCAAAATCTGTTAAGAAACTCATATCCAGAATTTTACAATGCAGTGAGACTTGGATTGGTGTGAACTCCCTCCTTTTGTCTCATTTTGATTTGCACCTGCAGCTTTGTCAATTTCCATTTCACTCTTACATCATATGGATTTGGACAGACATTGTCTGATTTTACAGATGTCTGCTGCTGCTGATGCTCTAATTGCCTCATGTGTTCCTAACTTGACACTTTTCTTGACACTTCAGACGATTGGTTGTTGCAGCCTGTGGCTCTCAAACAAAAGATGTTGTTCCGCATCATGAATTTAATGCCCGCAAAAGGTCGATAGTGTTGCATTTTTAATACATTTATTACTCACTGTGTGTGAGAATCCAACACTTTCTTTGGGCAGCACTTGATTTTTGTATGTACCTGTACTTACCAGGTGTGCATTCGGCAATTTACCCAGCATTACTTTTCAAAATGTTGTCTTGTATTGGATGGATTTGAATATTGATGTAGGCAATGACCTGTTGCAATTGAGAGTTTGAAAACACTGATGTATACTGTATAGATAGAGGTGTGCGATATGGCTGAAATCATTGTCATTAAATTAATCCAAATATTCACAAAGTGGCAAAGTTTTGCAGTCACAGCTAAAGTGATCAACCTGAACTGTGAAAGAAATGTTTGACACTGTAGAAATACACTTATTCTTCTTACATTTATACTTCTTACATTTCATTTAATTTTTCATATTTACTGTACAGATACAAGTGGTATAATGCTGTAACTTGGCATGAAAGCAATAAGTGTATTTTGAGAATGACGGCTATTCCTTTAATAACTACATGCTGCTCATATTTATTAATTTCTACAACCAACATTTGTAGAATAATAACATGTTAAGATCCTTATCATCATGTGATTCCACTGAAAATCTAAAAATGATAAAGATTTAATTATCACTGCGTCTTATGTATTATTATTACAGGAAAAATAAGCTGCTGTACAGTGATTCTTTTAAATGTGCTGCACTTTGCTGAAACAAATTAGGATGTATGTTGCATCATTCAATCAGTGCTGTTAATTTGTTATAAATAAATTCTAGTTTTGAGACAAACCGTTGCTTCCATTTGTTCTGTTGCACGAGCTCCCACAGGTTCAGCATCAGCCTGAACTCATTTGTTGACTCTAACTGAATCTCTTCCAGGAGAGGACTGTAACGATCAGGAGGCAGACGATTGGAGGGTTTGGCCTGAGCATCAAGGTAATTTAGATCCCGGGTGATTAGACCACTCCTCCCAACTTCTTTAATTAAGTCTGAACAAGTGTTATTGATCATTTTCTTGTAAAACGGCAATAGCAGCGTTAGCACAGGGACTCACTGAAAATTGGGTTACTCTTAAGTGTCTTTGCCTTGTTTTGTGTTTGTGATACCTTGGTAATTCAATTTGATTTAATTTGTCTCTTTAGGGTGGTGCAGAGCATAAAATCCCTGTTGTGATATCAAAAATATCAAAAGAGCAAAAAGGTATATTATTATCCTCGAAAACTTTGCACAACTACTGCCATTTTTATGTTTGCTAGTTTATTTTTACTGAAGTGATTTTCTGTTTCCAGCTGAACTCTCTGGGCTGCTTTTCATTGGAGACGGCATCCTTCAGGTAAAAATGCCAGAATTCACATTGAAGCCTGTTTACACAACTCATTCTATTCACTGCAAAATAACATGGACTGTTTCTTCAATAATTCATGTGCCACATTCACAAAACTGTGTTGAAAGATTATGCATCCCTATAGCTAAATGTCACATCCCAAATCTTTCATTTGTTATATGAATGTCACCAAAAAAAAAAAAAAAAAGAAAATCTCCCACATCTCATCTCAGTCAGCTCATACGATGCAGAAGCAACATTTACAAGCCAGCCAAAGACATTCAGCATTCATGGCAACCGTGGATGTGACTCTCTTGTTTACAGTTTTCAGCGCAGATGCCATAACAGTTATTGTGCTTGCTTCATTAATCATTTTGAAGATAGAGCTACAGTGATATGGTGCCAGCAGTATTATTTAGGGTAACCCTGTTACTGTTGTTTCTAGATAAATGGAATAAACGTTAGAAGCTATCGCCACGAGGAAGTGGTAAGCTGTCAGCTCATATCTCACATTCTCTTACACTGCAACAGTTCTTTCAGCAGCTTATCTTGTCTCACTTTATGATTTGTATCTTTTTGACATGTAAAGCCAATTTTTTTCTGTTTCATCCCTTCATAAATGTAACTGTAAGAAATGTGTGTGAGGAGCATAAAACTTCCAGTCTGTTTAAATCCCTTATCTTGGATTTCCATTCTTAGCTAGACATTGGCACACCATGTTTCATCACAGCAAGCCTTCAGCAGAGAAGCCTCACAGTTTACAGCTTCCTGCAGTAAAAATATTCTCTTGTTTTTACCTTCCAGGTCCAGGTTTTGAGAAACGCTGGTGAAGAAGTGACTCTTACTGTCTCTTTCTTAAAGAAGACTCCTGCCTTTTTGAAACTGCCCCTTTGTGAGGACTGCACATGTAAGAAACACACACAGTCACACACACACACAAACACACACACACACACACACACACACACACACACACACCCACACACACACACACACACACACACTCTCTTTAATTAAACTATATAATCACCTTTACTGCTGTGGCGAATAATCAACCAAGAGTATTTATAGCTGGTATTATTTTCTGTCTAGGCCTGGTCGTCCTGGTGACAAAAAACTGTAGCCTGAAAATCCAAAAATAAAGAAACATAGATTCAGCTGCTCTTTTTTTCTTTTTTGGAACTTGCTTGTCTTGACAAGCACTAAATAAAGACGCTACTTTGCTAAAGAGACGATAGGACACCATCTCAAGCTCCACAAAAGATGCTAAAGACTGAACTGAAAGAATTGACATTGCTCATTGTGGTGCAATTGACTGCTCCTACATGGGATAGCTTCAGCCCGTCATCAGACATGAAAGCTTTTATGAAATCCTTTCATACGCATATGTAGGCCAGGTTGACTGGCCAATCAACCAGTCAACTGACTACAAACTGGCTCAGAGAACAAAGTAACACACTTTTGTTCAGGGCTGTGATTCACTGATGTTGGAAACCTTGAAATAGATAGAAGTGTTGCACTGAATTTGAAGTGTGGTGGGGGGGTCTATTATATTTTCTTTTGTGTGTTCCTGTTGCACTTTCAGGCATTCCCAGCGACCAGAGTAGTGGGACGTCCTCCCCTCTGTGTGATAGCGGCCTGCACTTGAACTACCACCCTAACAACACGGTACATTTTTCCATTATTCTCTTCTTTAACTGACTGATTCTATAACTGACCCTTTGTAGCCATGCAGCAGCCAGAAATTGTTTCTATGCAGCTGTCACTGCAGGCTGATAACCGGGATGCTCTATCTTTATCTTTTGAGGTGGGTGAATCAGCTTCCCTCTGCTGCTGTAGGCCTGTCTGTGCACCTGCAACAGCAGCAGCAGCAGCAGCAGCAGGACTCAAGCTCTTGACATGTCAACTGTTTGAAATGTGCGAGGTGGGAAACGACAAGCTCTTCTAAATTGTGTTTCACACTTCATACAGGACACGCTGTCCTGTTCGTCCTGGCCCACATCCCCAGGGCTTCGCTGGGAGAAGAGATGGGTGGACCTGCGCCTTATTCCGCTGCTACACTCACGCCTGTCGCAGTACATCCCGGGCTCTGACGTCTGCAGGTGAGCTGCGGGGACTTCATCTTGAAGGGTCAGTGGGATCTATTCTCACTTGCAGAGCTGGTGTCACCCCTCATACATTTTAAGTGCTTGGGTGTTCTCTAATGGAGCAGAAAATATGTTTTTGCAACACAAAGTAATTCTGCAGTAAACTTTATTTACACTGGTTCTGTGCGTCTGCCATACTACAGGACAGAACTATTGAATAGTGGACAGATGACGTAAAAAGCCATTAAGCTGTCAATAAATACATTTCCATTTGCTACACAGTGGATGATGGAAACAGTAATCTTTTGGATTGACTCTTAATGAATCACTCTTGTGGTTTGGCATGTTTTAGCATATTAGCTGAAAATTGCATAAGGATATCATAAGTTTTTAGATTGATCATCCTTACTACAGAATTTTTGTTTTCAGTTTATTGTACAGCAGAATGAAGATGAACTTGTCCTTGTCAGAGTTAGTTTGTCTGCTTTGGTTATTACATTGTGAGTATGGTCTGTTCCTAAAATCTCTTGGTACATTTAAAGGAATAGCTCAGTATTTGTTTGCTTCGTTGCTGAGAGTTAGATGACAGGATCGATACCACTCTCATGGCTGTACTGTGCTACAGCTAGCAGCCAGTTAGCTTAGCTTGGCACAAAGACTAGAAAACAGCTAGTCTCCAACCAGCACATCTGAAGCTCACTGATTCATACATTCGTTTAATCCTTACGCTGAGATGTAGTAATGTGCTGAAATTCTGCAGAGATGTGGATAAACTGTAAACTGGATAAACTCTTCTTGTGCCTTTTAAATTTGATCCTCAGTTTTATTCTTTATTTTTTCAGGAAAAATGCTTTCCAGGTTATAGCTGTGGACGGCGTTTGCAGCGGAGTTATACAGTTTACTGCAGCCGAAGACTGTCTGGACTGGCTTCAGGCAATAGCGAGCAACATTTCCAGTCTCACCAAGCACAATGTGAGTAAGAAGCAATAACGCTTGTTAGGTCTGCCGCCTCATGCAGTCACCCATGTAAACCAATGAGATATTGGGTTATGTGTTAATGCAACAGACTTTCAATTTGTGGATTGTCTAACAGTCTCTTTGCAAATGTCATGGCATTAAGTAGACACACACTAATGCCTTTTCAGCCCGAGGTCACAATAACAGAAAGCGCACTGAATTACACTTACAGTACTCCCTCCAGCTAAGCCCCATGCACTTGTGTAATCTATAATGCATCATAATATATGATAAAATAATGATACCAAGAGGCAGCAAGAAATAAAGAAATAATGATGTTGTATTCTTTGTCTTATTGCAAACATATTTTCCCAGCTCTACCACAGCTGACATGAAAAAAAAAGAAAGTATGTCTGTGTGTTTCCAGACAGGCAGTGATGCTCAGCAGGGGGGGTCAAATACAAATACTGCTAACAAGCTTCATCACATGAGGCAGCTCATACAGAACCTGGCAAAAAAAATGTCTAATTTTGACAACATGCAGTAAACTATAATTTTTGATTTCTAGAGAGCGCCTGTCAAGCCGTCGTCTAGGAAAACGTAACCAGACAGTAGTGTTGGCTCTCCGCATGACATGAATACAACATGGAGGGAGCGGCAGTGTAAAATAGGGATTTGTAATTATCCTGTGTCCATTGGCGTGGCTGTGTGTGTGGCCGTGTGTGTGTGTGTGTGTGTGTGTGTGTGTGTGTGTGTGTGTGTGTGTGTATGTGTGTGTGTGTGTGTGTGTGTGTTTGAGCGATGGCCCTCCTTGTGTGCGAGGGTCTCTGGGGAATAATGGAACCCTGGTTAATTGGAGTGGACGAAGTGAGGGACGTACTAAACATAACACCGATGACTCACTGCCAGAGTGGCCTCAACAATACAGAGTGTATTTCTCGCTCTGGCCTTGGCATTCACTGAGGTGTGTGAGTGAGCTAGTAACATGGCTGCATGTACAGATTTCTGCTGAAAGAGCAGACGGTTGAATATGTGTACATGATTCTGAAATGGCCATCGGTGATGCCAGTTTTTAACAAGCTTTAATATTTTTTCATCTTTTTAAGTGAAAGTAGCTGCAATTTCAAAAGAGCGGATTGGTTATTATCACCTAGATGTTATGCTTTAATGTTCAAAGGCAGCTCAGAATAGACTTCTAGTAATAAGAAGTGAATGGAAAAATGAAAAAGAAACTACAAAAGAGCTGCTTTACTTGTATCCACAAACAAAAGGTATGGTTACTCTTTTTATACACTCCTCCATCTCTTAACTAACCTCCCTGAGGAAAAGGTAACAGCGTATATATAGACAGATGGTTGAAAGAGTACTTTATTAATCTGAATGTGAAATTGTAACTTGTAGCAGCGAAGTCACAAAAACAAAGCAAACAACGTGAGGACAATCTAAGAGCTGGATAAAGAAATTGAAAAAAATATCAATAAATAAAACTTGACTAGAAACTAAACTAACACTAAAAAGTAAGACCATTATTGATCTCTTATTGAACTCTAAATATATACAGCCACAGTGCCTGTAATACATGTAAGTATAATATCTACTTCTACGTCTTTAAATACGATAGATGAGCACTGACTAGCTATACAGTGAATCTATATATACACAGTTATGTGCGGGTATTTTTAATTTTAATCTTATATTTTTACTCTCTATTTCACTTACTTCTAAGTTGTTTTGACTTGCATACTCCATTTCTACACCCATTTTTATTTTGCATTACTTTGTACATATGTGCTTTTGTGTTTTTATTGTGTTTTCGTTTCACTGCTGCCCCAGCAATTGACCTTCAGGGACAAATAAAGTGATTGATCGATTCATTAATTGATTATGCTGCAGATGAGCCAGAGTCCCATAAAGACCTTAAAAAACAATCAAGGGTAAAACTAGAGAACATATTTGGGAGGGTTTGTGTTTGTATCAAATTTTCACCTTTTTTTTAAAGGTCAAGATAAATATTCATAGATGGACCTTTTTAAAAAAAAAAAAAATGAATGGGTCCAACTTATTAAACAGGAAACCTTGCAAATGAGATGCACCAGCAGTGGACAAATATAGCAAGTAAAGCACCCAATAAAGAGCAGGGTCAACCTTTGCTTGCAGAAAAGTGTCAGTCTCTCGTGGTTTGCTGTCAGACACTTGAACTGAGCTGTTTGTAGTCAAATATTGCATCATTCGTCATGAAAAAGTGCCGCCAGTTGTCTGAGCGATGATTGACGAGTGAACCTGCTCGGCTCTCTGCGCTCCACAAACCCCCATAAAGGTTCAGTGATGTTCAGGTCTGGTGACTGGGGAGGCCATCCCGGTGTTCATGAAAGCACTCTTTAGTTTGTTTAGCGATGCATTTGAAGGCATCAATGAAGGCAATATGTGAGCATTATGAAGGAAAGTGTTTGCTCCATTGGTCCTAACGGCTCCCACTAGTCGGCTACACAGCAGAGCAGCAGACACTGTGGGCTGAAGGTTTCTTTTGGCTTTCTCCAAATGTGACTGTGCATCAAATCAGATCTAGAAATCACATCTAAGTTTGACTCATACCTCACGACTCATCTCTTTCTTGTTTAGGCATAATGCTCCTGACGACAGGTTAGGTTTATGTGTCTCTGTGCCTTGGCGTTGAATACAAGTGGTGTCTGAATTGCAGCTCAGATTTAAGTTTCAACAAATGTCAGGCTGAACAGTTTCTGCTGAGACTGTGCTGATTCAATTCTGTGGCAATTTTCAAAGCTGTTCCTCAGTGGCAGCTCCACTGTTAGATGTCTGTCTACACCCTGTTGGCAAGCGCTGACCTGTGATCCCTGCTCATCTTTGTTCGGTCATGTTTGGTATGCACCATAATTATTTTCGAGACAATTCACCTCAACATATTAAATAATTTAGTTTTTTTTTTTTAATTGATGCTTTTTCCATGAGTGACTCATGACTCATTTGGCCTTTCTGGACCTCAGTTGTTTGCTATGTAAGTTGACCCATCAGTGGAATTATCTTCTCAGATACTGAGGGGAAGTAAAGTTAAAGCAAATAGTCAAATACTGAAATTTTAACTGAAAAGTACTTATTATAAAAAGTATTATAAAAGTGCCTGCTAGATCGAGAATGTTTTTGATAAACCCCCAAGGCCTATGTTATTTATTTATTGGATTATTTAACAGGAACAGTGCACATTAATAAACATTATTTTGAATGTGCCAGAGTTAACCAAAAGTCTATTTTTCATCTGTGGTCCCTGGACAGATGTTACACTGTCACCATAAAAAAGAACACAAGATTAAAATTTGAAAAGTTATTGAAATAGTGCATAAGTATGTGGAGAATAAAAATAAAAATACAACTACAGGACATCATCGTGCCACACTGTCAGGTATTGGTAAAAACTTGTAAATATCAGTGTTGGTAGAAATGAGCAGTAAACGACACAGCGACTGGAGAAAACAACAGCCAGCTGTAAAGAGTAGAGCTGAAATAAAAAGGCCATGGTTTACCTTACAGTGATGTTCTCACTATAACAATAGAGTCAATTCTTCCATTCCTAAAACTCTTTTGATAATATTTCTCAAAAGTGCTTTGTGGCATCAAACTAAAAAAACAATAAAAGGCTGCTTTTCTTGTGGTCTTGAAATGTTTATATTTTGAGTAAATGCTATGTATTTTGCCCGACAACAGTGATATGTTATGAGCTTATCTCCTCTTGAATTTTAATCTGCAACAAATCTAGTAAGTAAGGTAACAGAACTGTATTTATCCAGGACTGAATCTTTAAGCTAAAGATGCTCTCTATACATAGTAAAATAAATACATTCATAAACTGTGTACAAAATGACAGTGTAAAGTGCCAAGTACTAATGAAAACAAAACCTACAGAGAGGTGTATCTATTACAATTTAACAGTGTTAATATACTCCTCAAGGGAATCTGTTCAAGTTTGGTACAAATGTCCATTTGGACTCAGGGATGAACTGATTAGATTGTGGTGGGCAAAGGTCAAAGGTCAAGGTCACTGTGACCTCACGTTCTTATAAATGCGATATATCAGGAAGCCCAGAGGGAATTTCATTACATCTGGCAATAACATTCACTTGGACTCAAGAATGAACTGATTAGAATTTGGTGGTCAAAGGTCAAAGGTCACTGTGACCTCATAAAACACATTTTTGACTATAACTCACAAATTCATATGTTAATTATGACACCATTTAACGAAAATGTCTAGTAGGATAAAATTATGAAGTGATGACATTTTGTATCCAAATGGTCAAGGGTCAATTTCACTGTGACATCATAATGTTCTGCAAAAACACCTCTGGCCATTATTCAATGCTGTAACTCAGGAAGGGGAGATTGTGACCATATTTCCTGCAACTTGGCTGGTTGGCGGAGGCACACAACTGCGAGGTGGTAATCTTAGTTGAGATCTGTCTTAAATGACTAGTCAGTTGCTGATATAAGCACTGAAACATGTTTCGCTTGCTGTAATAATTCCTTCTCTTCATCCTGGCCATCAAAAAGATCTCCCCCTAATGCAGTCAGTGTACGTGATGTGGGACACAATCCACAGTCCTGTCAAATGTGTATTCAAAAATGTATCTGTTTATTAATAACAATCTTCAGCCAACCAAATTAACCAAATAAAGTGGATACCCTCCAAAGTTACAGCCTTTATAGTACAAAAAAGTCCCTTCTTTTTGTCAGTGTCCTCCCTGCCACTCAACACTATCTGTGGAAACATGAGGAAGGAATTTTGTATTAAAAGGTTGTAACTTGAGATAGTGGTAACTTTTGATTTGACTAGCTCAGACTGCTGAGGCCTCATATAAGCTTTAAATAAATTATGACACCGCTATAACCATAAAGAGTGTGCTGTCCTGGCACCCAGGTTATGGAACAGCTTCCCTCTGGGGGTCAGGTCAGCAAACTCAGATGAGTGTTTTCAGTCCCATCTCAAAGTTTTCCTGCCCTGATTTGTTTCTCTTTGTTTTTATTCTTTCAATAATTTTTTATGCTTTTGTCCTTGTATGTTTTCATCTGCATAATGTGAAGCACATTGTAACGCTGGTATTTTACCGAGGAAGGGATCTCTTGATGGCCAGTATGACCACAAAGAATGATTATAGTCAGCAAAACCTATTTTGGAGTTCATAGCTATTGTTTTAAGACGGACTTGAAAAACAGTGATTCTGTCCATGTAATAGAATTTGCATTTATGGTACAATAATTACAGATGTAATGTAAAATGGAGCGAAAAGTACAATATTTCCCCTGGAATGACATAGAATAGACATATAAAGTGAAAACACAGCAATTCAGTAGGTGTTAGTTTGGTATTTCCCACCTTAAACTCAGTCAAAGCTTCCCACCGTGTATTTTGAAATAGAGTGAGAGATGTGTGATTTGTTTCAAAGAACTGAACCCCTCAGCCTTTCCTGATTTATGTCCAAGGTGGTTTAGACCTGCAGTCACTGTGACTGGCCTCAACAACCCACAGCTGAATGTGAACAAACCCACCATCACTGCTCCCATATATCCAAACCCAGCTCACATCTTGACAGTTATCTGGCTGTTTCCCTCCCAGTTCCTCCGCTGAAAAAGAAACATCCTGTTTTCTCCCTCGACACAAACTTCAGTAACTTTGCACAATAAGCAGCTGTGACTTGTTCTCGCCTCTAAAGGAGGACAGGATCAGGCCTGGATGGCTTAATTTGGTGCTCTGCTCCTAAGAAAGAGTTATATTGATAGTATAGCATGGATTAGGAGCGAGTGATACCTGTGATCTGAGGAGAATGTTTTAATTTAAAGCCTGACTGCTCTCTCAGTAGTTTCCCCGCTTTTATTACCACAGAGAGAATGGATTTTTTTTTAATGGATTTTTTTTTTTTTTTAGGAAGAGCCTCGGGTCCTTGTGGAAATGACTCTATCTATCTCATTTTGTAATTTGCATGCCTTGAATAAATGAAGTCGCTCTAACAGTGTTCCTTCAGTGCTGTGGTTAACATGTTAGCACAGATGCTAGTTTATTTCTTCTTAGACAGACTGTCATTCTGATTGTGAGTACCTACAGGGTGCTCCAAATATTTAAAATTTTGCCAGTAATTGGTTTCTTGCTTGTTGGCAGGAGATATTTTGATGACTTACTGATGCTCTTGTTATATTTAACAGGTGAAGAAGATTAACCGGAATTTTCCAGTAAACCAGCAGGTAAGACATTTTCTTCATGCAGGAGCCGGGCTCCTGCTCCAAATTAAGATTTTCTTTCTGCTTTGGCTGATTTTAATTTTAATTTTCACATTTTACATTTATCTTAAAAATCAGACCTAAATCTAACCAGGTCAGTCAGTCAGAGAATGGACACAGCCCCATCTTGCCATCTATTGCAACACAAGCAGAGTCTTTGCATCATTTAAGACCATCCGCTGAGAGATGATCAGAAAACAATTTAAGTGTCATATGATGGCATGGGGAGCAGACGCGACAGTGGGATACTTTTTGTCTTGCTTATTTATTCTGGTTTCTGCTTCACAAAAATGTGTGAATTCACTTGACAATTCATTTAAGAAATTTAACTGCATGAGATGTGACTGCTTGTCCTAAATCTTTCACTCGCTTGTTTTGCAAATCCATCAAAAAAAAAAAAAACTCCAAACAGAAAAGCAAGCAAACATTTTACTTGGGTTGAAATCACCCTGACTTTAATGAGTAGTGATGGTGTGAAACACTTGATGTCTAAAATCATGCCTCAGAACATCTGCAGCAGAGGCTTTGCTTTTTGTCTCTTCATCTCCCTGTTGGTCTAACCTCTTTTTTTCTCTTGAAAACTTTATACCTTTTGCCTAAATGTAAAAGCCAATGATATGACAATAAATGCTACATGCTTATAGAGTTCTGTCACTTGACTGAAACCTCCCCCATCTCACATTTAATAGATAAATAAATTGCTTATAACACTATACATACTAAAAGAACATCTCAAGAGTTTAAAAACGTACTTGTCAGCAAACTGGTGTACAAACACATGAGTCTTTGATAACGCTGCAGCTGTAATCATATTTAATGTTGTCATAACACACATGAACAAACATCATAAAATCATTAACTGTATTACACAGAGTTAGGGTCTGAAACTGTTTATGAATATGTTCAAACCTCATGAAGACATGTTGAGATTCACAGTTAATCCCTGACTTCAGAAACAGTCGTTTCAAAAATGAAAGGTCCCAGATCTCTCAGCTGTATCTCATTGCCTTCGTGTAAGGATGGTGTTTTCTTAGCTCTCACTGAGACTGAAAAAGTATTTATAAATTAAAATATATGTGTAATAAAAGTAAGAACCAAATACTTTATATCTCATTTTGAGTGTGTTTTGAGTGTGTTAAACTACATTGATAGTAATTAATTTACTGTTGTTTCTACACCAGTTATAGATGCCAGATGCCACAGGAGATATGCTGTAGTTGTCAAATATATTATTTAATACTTACAAATGTACTTTTTTCTGCTAAAAACTACATTATAATGTGTTATGAGCCATTTATTAATTGTTAATATATTGCTTGTAAATACTAAATAGGTTGGAAGTGTTACAGATTTGTCTGCCATCACAGATTTTTCCTACTTTATTCTGTGGCATACAGATCTCTCTTATTGGCTCTTCATATGATTTTTGTGTGACGAAGTACCTCAATTTGTCAGGTATTTTATCTGCTAGAAAACAGGCATACCTGTCTCATTATCTTTAAAGCTCCTGAATATTTGGTTCCAAATCTCAAATAATTTTCTGTACTCTATCAAATGAGCATGACACAGGAATTTATCCCACCCCTTAGAAGCCTGTTATTACATGCCACGTCTCTGGTGTTCATCTTTGTTTTGTTTTACCCTTTGATAGATTATTTACATGGGCTGGGTCGACGAGAAGGAGCAGGACTCTGTTCAGGACCGAATGTATTCACCAAAGTTCCTCGCTTTGAGGGGTTCCTCACTCTTCAAGTTTTCAGCCCCCCCTGTAAGTTTTGACATCTTTGCTTGTTTTATACCAATGTCTTCAACCCACAAAACTTCTGTGTTTGAACTAATGTTGCTCAACTCCACAGGAGATTTTTCATTTGATGTTAATGTATTGTTGAGGGAGAAAATGCTTTCCTGCTGGAAAAAAAAGGAAGCAGCTCACTCATAATCATTTGTGCTGCATTGATCTTCCTGTTGATTGATGATGATCATTAAATCTGTTTACATTCTGCCAGCCACTTAAGTGATTATGACAAGAGGGATAAGCTGTCGATGGTACTGGAGATGGGAAAAGATTGATAGATAACTGAAAATTGCCTGCTCAACTTGACTGTGTTGATATAAATGGAATATGCTAATGTGAGTGGATGGTGGAATATGGGAGCTTGCTTGTTCAGACGTCGAGACAAGCTTATTTATTATTGAAGATTAGTTTCCTCTGAGGAATATATCCCCTCAAGTGACTACATAAACCCTGCCCCCTGATAGTGATTGACCTATCACAGCTTAGCAACCGTAACAAGGCATAAGCTTCAGATTAGGTTTATCGTAAGAGCGACACTTGGTATCTAAAGAGTTTGGATGCTAGTTTTTTCTTTTAAAATTACCTTTCCAAAAACAAAAGCAAATGAGTAAGGAGTGGATTAGCATTAGCATGCCTAAAAAATTTGTCATTGTGCAGTGTAAAATGAGAAGCTAGCGGGGCGTAACACCAGTAGCTAAAGGGGGACCGCACTTAGCAAACGCTCAAGTGAATTGTCATTAAAAAGTATTTCCAAACATTTATGTGATATTTTCAGGTGACAACATGGGACTGGACCAGAGCAGAGAAAAGCTTTACTGTGTATGAGATAATGTGCAAGATTTTAAAGGTAAGGCACCTTTTTTTCATTCATTCATTCATTCATTCATTCATTCATTCATTCATTCATTCCATTTAGAGATCAAAGCCCCACGCTGGATACACTGAAGGAATAAAAAGTAGCAAACAGAGTCTGAGGGCTGCACTTACATAACTCACTTAGTACCTTGCATGTGCTTGTCAATCCCACAGAGATGCTCAAGGCTCAGATTGTTTTGTTGCGTCTCTCCAGATTCGAGGTCACTTTGAATTCGATTGTTAGAATTTATCTGCAATTCATTACGTAGAAACTCATTATGGGTAATTTAATTCATACAAACATATTAAATCAGACATATTAAATCAGATATAAATTGACCTACACTGCCATACCTATTACACTGTGCTATTTGTGTTACATAAAGCTATAAAAAGATACATTAGAGTAAAACACTGTCTGTTTCAGCCTGCATACATGCCTATTACCTTAATGTGAGTGTTGAAGATATAGAGAATAAGAATTCAAGTGCTCTTACAGCTGCAGTCTGCAGCCTGTACTCTGTCATCAGAGTGAAATAAACCTCCCTTTACCTCCCTGCATTGCTGTTGCTCGTCTTATCTCCACATCACTCTGCCCATCTGTACCTGATCAGCATGGCAGTCGTACTGTCTTGTCTTAGGATAATGACCTTCTGGACAAGAGGAAGCACTGCTTCAGCGTCCAGACAGAGAGCGGGGAGGACATGTTCTTCAGCGTCGAGTTGGAGTGCGAGCTGCTGATCTGGGAAAAGGCTTTTCAGATGGCCACCTTCCTGGAGGTGGAGAGGATACAGGTCAGCACCTTAACAGTAGGCAACGTGCGGGGAATTGTGATGATTTTAATCTCACACAAGGTTCCACCTCAGTTGTTTTAGTACAAAGATTGATAATGCTCATATAACATTTTCACAGCAGCAAAAGAGACTTTTGTGTCCTTGTGGGTAACATCTTGTTCTTCTATTCTGTAGAGTAAAACATATGCCTGTATCATGGAGAGCCACCTTATGGGACTTACTATTGACTTCAGCATGGGCTTTGTGTGCTTTGATGCAGCTTCAAAGGTGAGTGTAGGACAGTCCTTTCATCATCAATAAGAACTGGGAAAAGGGAAAACAGATCCTTTCAGTGGGAGATTGTACACAGTGTGATGAAACTAATCACGATGCCATGCCTCAGTTTCCCTTTTTCTTTTTTTGGTGCTGCTAACTTATTCTGCACTGTGTGCATTTTGGGAGTATGAGCACATTTGTTTTGACGGCTGGTTCCCCCCAGCTCAAACCTCACTTCTCCCTGCAGTTCATTTTGGCCTTTCCCCAAGTCTGAGAGTCATGCAGACTACTCCACTGGTGCACATTATGTGGCTGAGCAGGACACAAGCGTTGCCATATTGTTCTCTAAGATTTTGGCCCTAATTCCTGCAATGGGAAGCAACAATGTCCCCCAAGGACGATAAAAATGTTGCCAGTGTATTGTTTACAGAGAAAAATGTGCAAAACACAATCCATATGTAAACTACAATCGCAGACAATACACGGGGTGGGATTACTGCATAATTAAAAGCTGCTATTGGCAAATTTGAAAACCCATGTTAGAATTAGTTTTAATCGAAAACAGCACAAATAAAACTCTGTACAACAAGTTGAGCTGTATTCTGCTGGCTCAGGGTCCAGTAAGATGTTCCACAGCTCTAGTTTTTTTCTGGAAAAGCTGAAAAAATGAATCTTAATTGGAATTTGTATCACATAATAAAACAAGGCTGACAGAACAAAGGCCTCAACTGCACAATGATTCATAATCTATAAAACTCTAAAGGTGGACATTAGCAACCTGTGAGAAAGTGTGAGTGCAGCTCCAGCCCTCCCAAACCTGATGGATGGATAAAGCAGTTAGTATCATCTATTAAATAAAGGGCATAAAATGTAAATACAACAAATACAACATTTGCATAACAAATGAGGACTGTGCATAGAGCAAGTGAGCTGTCAAGACTCAGAGGGTTCACACTCTGGTGGCAAGACACCCTTAGAGTCAGCTGTTTAAATAAAAAGCTAAAGTGTAGGAAAAACCAACTTGAGAGAAACAGTGAGCAAACATAAAAAGGTTCATGTGAATGTGACTCTCTGCCTTAAGAAAGGCATCAAAATACTCTATTTAACATTATGTTATAACATCTTTATAGGGAAGTTCTTGCTCTGATCTGTACAACAAAAAATAAATGCACCAGATGAGCAAAATGTACAAATCACCAGTGTGTGCCTGAGGGGGGAGGGCATGTTGAAAGACTGCAGAGTAGCTCGACTAATTTGAAAAGAATAAAAATGATGATTCGGTTGAAAAAAAAATCTACCCATGTCTTCCTATGTAGGAGGAAAATAAATACAAAAAAGTATTTACAGTTGGTTTGAGACTGATCTTTAGTATATTTGCCATCACAAGTTTACTAATGGTTAACAAATGGTTGAAACGTCCAGCTTTTAGCTTCTAGTGGTAACAGTATGAATGCAACCTGAAACTAACATATTGAAAAAACAAGACTAAATCTGAAAATCCAACAATTCCAGGATTACTGTGTCTTGTTTACAAATATTATTTTAACAATATCCACCTTTGTGTAATTAATAGCTTAAAATAGCATCTAGTTTGAAATCAGTTCAAATGAACACATTTGAAACATGTTGATGAAAGGATATTTTAACTTCATTATTGCACAACAACAACAATAAAGCAACAAAAATAAAACTGAGCAAAGCTCATGAGAACGTCTCCTTAAGAGGAAATAGAGTCAGATATAATCCTCCATTTGGAAAATGTTACTGATATAATATCAAGTGGTTGTGACTGACATGAAAGAGATGGAAATATCATCACCTCTGTCAAGGTTAACAAGAGTCAGATGGGTTTTTAAAGGCAAAGAAGACAAGGTGACACTCTTCCTGTTACACTCTGATAGCGTTTCATGAATATCTGACCTGATTTAAAATGATTTTTTGCCCAGTAAAAAAATATCACAGTCAAGCTTCACGTATTCAGATAGCACACAGGGAAAATACTTATACTGCATTTACTGTTCAGTTTATATATAGCTACCACTGGGTCGCTTAATCTACTGAAATGCATCATATTCTATAAGATTATCATATGTATGTAGCGTTGTTGTCCTGTGAGAACCCTGTAAAGCAACACGTCATCCTTCAGTTTATAGGAATAAAATTAATTCAAAATCACCAAAGTTGGAGATATGTGGTTTTCAGTGGACAGGATGGGTAAAAAATTGTAACCTTAGAAGTGGCTACTAAGTACAACTGTCAGACAAATGTAGTGGAGTAGAAGTAAAATAAGGTAACAGCAAATGGAAATACAACATTCCATCAGTGCTCTGATCGGGGTTACAGTGATTATTACAGCGGCAGGAACAGTCAGCACAGTGTTGTAATGAACAGACACATATTCATGTGAAAAGTGTGGCCAGCTGTCGACCTGAGGAGTCAGCCTGGAAACTGTCGCTTGGCTCAGTGCTCGGCTTTTGTTTATGCAGTTCAACACTAATTGAATCACCGAAGCTCTACTATTTCAGGTGAAATTGCTGTGGCTTGTTAAATTTCCCAGTGGCGAAAATAACAAGTTTATATCTCACAGCAACAGATATCTGGTTGATCTGCTGACGTGCCCCATTTCTCACTGGATCCATGTGGATTTTAACATGAATTATTCATGAAACAGTGACACAAGAAGGGGTTCACAGATTGGATTGCTGTAAATAAAGATATATAGGCTAGTTGTATTTTTTCTTTAGTAGACTCACATAATCTTTGTAATTTCTATATTTTAGGCAGTACTGTGGAGATACAAGTTCTCCCAACTAAAAGGATCATCCGATGATGGAAAAAGCAAGATCAAGTTTTTATTCCAAAATCAAGACTCCAAATCTATTGAAGCAAAGGTAAGTAACTTTGAGAGATGCTTAATGCTGCATCACGTAAAGGGAGATGTTATTCAAGAAGAATTTCATTATAGAAAATTAGATAATGCATATTTTTTCTCTTTCAGGAGCTGGAGTTCTCAAACCTCTTCGCCGTGCTTCACTGCATTCACGCTTTTTTTGCTGCCAAAGTTGCTTGCCTGGACCCAATGTTTGTGGAGAGCCATGGCACCGCGACTACCACAGGGATTCCTTCTCTTTCCAGTATCTCATGTAATTCACAGACACCCAAACTCAAATACGCCACTTGACAGGTACTGCCCTCTCCAGACCCCTTTTAAAAAGACACCGCACTTAGTTGTGACTGTGGCCTAAACTGGTGGACGGGAGAAGTGGAAAAATTTCAGACTTTGACATTATGGAGGACAGCTGTATACAGTGGTGGAACAGAAAAGCTCTTAGGGATCACCTCTGAAGAAGCATCAGATTTCTGGGATTTCTGGAATCGTTGTGGACCTAAACACAAACCTCTACTTTGAACAACTTCACAGGAACACTCTATGAACACGAAATGTGCGATTCAAAAACATTTTTATGTGAATTTGTCTTTCTCTTGATCCTCAGACATCCTTATAATCAACACGACACAAAGAAAAATTGAATTCTTTTCCCAGGGTAGTCTGCTTTTCTATGTAATTTTACTGAAGATTTGGGGTTTAAGATAAACTGATTTTAGCCCTTTTTCCACATCAGACAACACATCACCTAAAGTTCTGCAAGGATATTTCTGGACAATGGATATGATGATGGCGCTTTCTATATTTCCACTTTTGTGTTTGTTCTTGAGGTGAAAACTTTTGCCTACATTCATACTTCAATTAGCAGTTAAATTTATTTTCTACTGATGTGTGATGAGTCCAGCTAAAATCCTGCAACACAAAAACATGATTTTGATTGAATTTAATTACATATTTGCTGGCAGCATTAGTGGAGTAAATGAATGGTTTCAGATGGGCATGTGTACGAATATACTCAGTAACCTCATTTCTTTTTCTCTGTATATGATGTACACCCATGTTTGAGGTCAGGTTATAACTGTTTCCTGGATTACTGGATAGGAAGGCTGTGTGGAAGTGTAGCTTTGAGTGTATGGATAAGGAATGTCACTTTGATAATCAGGTTCACCATCCACACAACCATAATCTGACAAAACCTCTCTAAACATGATTAAAAACCACCTTCCATGTTGTTTTTTCTCTCTCCCTAAAACTTAATTATGTAAATAAACACTGACATTCAAATGAACTCAAAGAATTATGAATTATGGCGAGCAATTACTTGTAGGGATTACTGCATTTGTTAATTTGATGTGCACCAGAGACGACTAGGTAGATAGCGCATAACCTTGTACTCTCTTCATCATTTACTCTATGGACCAATTTAGGAAAATAAAATCAGCAATGGTGTATTTTTGGAATATTATCTTTTTTTTTACTTCAGCTTGTAAATAAAGTAAAAGAAATCTTTACATTGACAAATGAGAAAAACACACCGTGAGGAAAATAGAAAAAAAAATGTAGCATCATGGCCTCCAAAGGTTTGAGATGCGCCTTTAAACTTCACTAAATTGTTTATAAATACAACAGAGTAACGGCTAAACTATCATATTCAGAAAGAGTTCAGGTCAATTAGCGCAATTAGTCATGCTCTTACCTTCCATTTACAAAGTAGAATCCAAACACAAGAGGCCCATGGCTCAGTAAACTCTAGAGGATAGCAAATTAAATGGGGTCAGTAAAGTGCTTCGTACAGTGCGGGCTTGTTAAGCTGATGTGAGTGACTGAGGGAAACTAATGGTTGTGCAGTCTATGCAAAGAAAGTCTGAGTGATGCTTTTGTGCTTTAAAATTATCTCGGTCGCATATACCCTTATAACACAGGATCTAGAGAGTGAGGTTATTTTATTTTTTGCAGATGTTTTATTAACAAATATGCTGTGTGATAAATTAATAAATGAGACCTTTTATAACATGGCTCACCTGTGGTTGGTTTTATTTCTCACAGCTTCTGGGTATGCCACCATATTTGCATGTGAAGTTGAGTTTACTGGTCATGTGAAAAGTGAATTTTGATGTGTTCTCAGAAGTTTGGTAAAATTTCTGTACTTATAGACATACTGATTTTGCACTTGACTACACATAAAGTTTAAACCCCTATATCAGTCCATTATGCTACAGCCAGCAGTTAGCTTAGCTTCTTTCAAAGGTAACAAAATACACCTACTAGCCCCTCTAAATCTCACAAATTAACACATTATATCTTATCTTTTGTGTGATCCAAGCTGTTTCCTGTCTTTATGCTAAGCTAAGCTAAGCTAAACTGAACTAAGATAAGATAAGGTAAAATAAACTAAGCTAAGCTAACCGGCATGTTAAGGTAGGTTCACAATAACTGCAAAGATGTGATTAGATTAGAGATTTTCATGCAACTCTCAGCAAGAAAGCCAATAAGGGTATTTCCCAAACTGAGGACTATTCCTTTAATGATATGTAAATGGTACAATTTAATATACTATGTATACTATTATTACCAATATGATTTAAAAACACGTTTGTACTAAATATGAACATACTTGAAATATAACTTCATTATACTCAAATTACCATTGCAGATATGATATTTGAAGCATGTAAATTGTATATTGACATACAGTTTAAGTATACACAAAGTTCTTGGTGAAGAGGTCCATCATTAAAAAATAAAAAATAAATTAAATTAAAACTTCCAGGTTTCTCAGAACAGTCAAGGTCACATAGACACAAGTGAAGTATGTCTGTGGTATGTAGTAAATATCCGTCAAGTTGTACTTTTTATTTATCAGTACAGTACAATTAGTACAAAGCACAGTGCTAATGTGTCAAAAATACACACTACTCATGATTAAGTACAGCCATTATGAGAACTTACTTTTTTCTTTTTTAACAAGGTTATTGCTTAGGCTGTGGTGAAGTCTGAAAAATAGCCCTGAAGATGTCATCAGGGTTAGCCATTCTTAGTCTGGGCTGGGTTTCTGGAGTTGGACCCATACTAGAGACTAAAAGTCTATTTTCACCATTCTTCTTTTATCTGTCTTTCATCAGTCCCTTGAGATTATGGAAATGCAGCACTAAGTCTCTGAAGTATCCTTTTAAGTTCAGCGTATTCCATGTCTGAAACAGAAGCTTTGCAGTCAAGACCGGCCCAAGGCATAAGCGAACTAAGCGGCTGCTTAGGGCCCCCATGGCCACCAAGGGGCTCCTAAGAGCGTTTGAAATGCTCCATATATATACAGTATATATATATATACATAAAAACACTAGAATTGCCACCATTCTAATACCCACAGGCGCCACAATGGTCTGCCAGACGTCATATAATTACATTGTTTGGGTTCTCAAGCAATTCTGCTCAAGCAGTGGAAAAAAATAGATAAGTGCTACTGTATTTAGCTTGGAAACTGTTCTTTTTATTTATTGGAAGTTCTCAGAGAACCTACCTGGAGTTGACATGCTGACAGATGCACCAGTTGACAGTGACCTCTCATCCTCACTCCAGTTCTCATCGCCCCCTCTTCTCAAGACCTGAGAAAGTGCCAAAGCTTTTTGAACATTTTATATTCTTGTTTTTCTTCTTTCCAGTTTCTTGCGGGTACGCAGGCTGAACCTAGTGTGTAAAACTGCGATCACGATCACGATCTCCCTCTGTGTCTCTCTCTCTACCCGCATGGGCCTATAATAATGTAAAATGAAATGTTGTCCCATAATGAGAAGGATCTGAGTTAAGTTTTTATGCATTACTATACTATGATGTATTTTGACATTTTTATGCCTTACTGTACTATGACGTTTTTTTTGCATTTAATACCTTACTATACTGTGATGTTTTTATGCCTTACTATACTATGATTTTTTTAAGCCTTAGTATGCTATGATGTATTTTGTCATTTTTATGCCTAACTATACTATGACATTTTTTTGCCATTTTTATGCCTTACTATACTATGACGTTTTAAAGCCTTATTATACTATGACGTTTTTATGCCTTGGTATACTAGGACATATTATGACATTTTTATGCCTTACTATACTATGACGTTTTAAAGCCTTACTATACTATGACTTTTTTATGCCTTAGTATACTATGACGTATTTAGACATTTTTATGCCTTACTACAATATGATGTTTTTTTGCATTTTTATGCCTTACTATACTATGATGTTTTGAAGCCTTACTATACTATGATGTTTTTATGACTTACTATACTATGAAGTTTTTTTGCATTTTTATGCCTTACTAGACTATGACTTTTTTCCTTTTTTATTCCTTACTGTACTATGATGTTTTAAAGCCTTATTATACTATGACGTTTTTATGCCTTTGTATACTATGACATTTTTATGCCTTACTATACTATGACATTTTTTTTGCATTTTTATGCCTTACTATACTATGACATTTTAAAGCCTTACTATACTATGACATTTTTATGCTTTACTATACTATGACATTTTTTGGAATTTATATGCCTTATTATACTATGACATTTTTATGCCTTAGTATACTAATGATGTAATGAAGCATTTTTATTCCTTAATATACTATGATGTTTTTTGGCATTTTTATGCCTTACTATGCTATGACATTTTAAAGCCTTATTAAACGATGTCGTTTTTATGCCTTAGTATACTATGACGTATTTAGACATTTGTATGCCTTACTATACTATGAAGTTTTTATGCCTTAGTATACTATGACGTATTTAGACATTTGTATGCCTTACTATACTATGAAGTTTTTATGCCTTAGTATACTATGACGTATTTAGACATTTTTATGCCTTACTTTACTATGACGTTTGTTGGAACTTTTATACCTTAAAATACTGTGACTATTTTTTGCTATTTTTATGCCTTAGTATGCCCTTTATGCCTATTACGTATTGAAGCATTTTTATGCCTTACTACAATATGATGTTTTTATGCCTTAGTATACTATTACGTATTGAAGTATTTTTATTCCTTACTATACTATGACGTTTTAAAGCCTTACTTTACTATGATGTTTTTTTTGCATTTTTATGCCTTATTATACTATGATGTTTTTATGCCTCACTATACTATGACGTTTTTATGCCTTAGTATACTATGACGGTTTTAGACATTTTTTGTATTACTATACTATGATGTTTTTTTGCATTTTTATGCATTACTATACTATGATGTTTTTTTCCAATTTTATGCCTTAGTATTCTATGATGTTTTTAAGCCTTATTATACTGTGACGTTTTTATGCCTAAGTATACTATAACGTTTTTTTGTCTTACTATACTATGATGTTTTTTGCCATTTTTAGGCCTTACTATAGTATGATGTTTTTTTCCATTTTTATGCCTTACTATACTATGACGTTTTGAAGCCTCACTATACTATGACGTTTTTTGCCATTTTTATGCCTTATTGTAGTATGACGTATTTTAATATGTTTGTGCCTTATTATACTGTGATGTTTTTTTTGCATTTGTATGCTTTACTATACTATGACGTTTTTATGCCTTAGTATACTATGACGTATTTAGACATTTTTATGCCTTACTATATTATGATGTTTTTTTGCATTTTTATACCTTACTATACTATGACGTTTTTATGCCTTAGTATACTATGACGTTTTTATGCCTTAGTATACTATGACGTTGTTTTTGCATTTTTATACCTTAATATACTGTGACGTTTTTTTCCGTTTTAATACCTTACTGTACTATTACGTTTTTTTCCAATTTTATGCCTTACTATACTATGACATTTTTATGCCTTAGTATACGATGACATTTTTATGCCTTAGAATACTATGACGTTTTTTTGTCTTACTATACTATGACGTTTTTTGCCATTTTTAAGCCTTACTATACTATGACGTTCTTTTGCCTTACTATACTGTGAAATTTTTTCCATTTTTATGCCTTACTATAGTATGATGTTTTTTTGCATTTTTATGCCTTATTGTAGTATGACATATTTTAAAATGTTTGTGCCTTACTATATTGTGATGTTTTTTTTGCATTTGTATGCCTTATTATACTATGACGTTTTTATGCTTTACTATACTATGACGTTTTTTGCATTTTTATGCCTTCCTATGACGTTTTTTGCCATTTTTATGCCTTATTATAGTATGACGTATTTTGACATTTTTGTGCCTTACTATACTAAGACGTTTTTATGCCTTACTATAATATGGCGTTTTTATGCCTTTCTATACCATAACGTTTTTTTTGCATTTTTATGCCTCACTATACTGTGATGTTTTTTGCCATTTTTATGCCTTACTATTCTACGATGGTTTTTTTGCATTTTTATGCCTTACTATACTATGATGTTTTAAAGCCTTACTTTACTATGACATTTTTATGCCTTAC